TATTTCGACTAGCACGTTTTGACCGTATCAAATTATATATACCCTCTGTTGTCATCTGGCTGATGGAATAAAAATATTTAACTGCATAGAAAGAGAAAGATAATCCGATTTTGCTCCTATTTTTCCAATCCTAATATTTCCTTGTTATACCCTACACCACAAGGTGGTCAGGGTATTATGTCTTTGTGCATTTGTTTGTAACAGGCAAAAGGAAACGAGATAGACCCATAGTTCCTTTTGATGATCTGCATAGAATCACATTCTGAGTCGATTTATGCATGTCCGTCCGTCCGTCTGTCAGTCTGTCCATGTATTTTTGTAAACAAAGTACAGGTCGCATTTATTGCCCGATCAAGATGAAATTTTGCACAGATCATTTGTTTGGCCCAAGGACGAACCCTATTGAAATTGGCGATAATCGGTAAAATTTAGATATAGCTCCCATATATAACTTCGTCCGATTTACCTTTTATTGTGCACCAAACGTGTAATATCAGCCCAAATTGAATGGAATTTTGCATATACACCCAAATTAGGCCTGAAAATAAGTATGTCAAATTTGATCGAAATCGGTTAAGATATAGCTATAGCTCCCATATATATTGTTCATCCGATTTGTTATTTTTGTCCTCCGCAGCCGTAATATGCACTCTGTAACAACAATATTTGGGAAAATGTATCAAATACAGCTCAGAAATACATTTGCTAAATTTTATCGAGATCGGTTCAGATTTGGATATAGCTCCCACATATAACTTCGTCCGATTTACCATTGATTGTGCACCAAATGTCTAATATTTGTCTAAATGGCACGGAATTTGGCTCTTACGACCGAATTCAATCTAGAAGCTAGTATGTCAAATTTGGTGAAGATCGGTTCAGATATAGCTATAGCTTCCATATATATTATTCATCCGATTTGTTATATTTGTTACCTACAACCGTAATATGCACTCCGTAGCAACGATATTCAGGGAAATATATCAAATACAGCTACAAATACAGAAATATCTTTGCCAAATTTAATCGAGATCGGTTCCGATTTGGATATAGCTCCCATATATATTTTTATCCGATTTCAAATTCATTGTGCACCAAATGGGCAATACAAGTCCGAATTTAAAAGACACAAATGCTTCGGCATATTTAGTCCTTTGAACTTTAAATTATAATTATAATCATAGCGTGTATGATTGAATTCTTCCAAAAAACTTTTAATTGTTATGTGGAGCTCTACTAAATTAGCAAAGTGGTGTAGGGTATCATAAAGTCGGCTGCGCCCGACTTTAAGACTTTCTTTACTGGTTTTTATTTAACATCAATTTTCTAAATTTCTGTTAGTAACAACTGACATGTTTTTGTTCGAATATTCTAGTGCACGAGCAGAACTTAACTTCGTTTCTAGACGCTCCCTTAAACGCTACGAAAATTATTCATTCATTCAAAATTCAATTAGTCATATTTAGAAGAGCAAATAACGAAACAAAATTAAAAGAACAGAGATAAAACCAAAATAAAACATCAAATTATTTCCAATTCACCACTTAAAACCGAATAAGACGAGATAACCAATTAATCTGCAATAACACTTGAATATCTATCAAAATTCCCAACAATGGCACTAAGTTATGAATTCGAATGGAAGAAATTAAAAATTCAAATGTTCACTTCCGAACAGCGATAGAAGAACATGAAAACAAACATTGCGGGGAAAATAGCTGAATTCAGTATCGATATATTTATGAATTTCCATGTCGGCATAACAGAATGAAAAACAACGGAACGGAAACAAGCAGCAGCAGCCAGCCAACCAACCAACCACAACCTGGCGAAGCATCAGTTTTGGATATCTCAATAATTCAATTTAAAGGGAAATTTATGATGGCGGTGAATAAAAAACGAAATAAAATGACATGGAACGTTTGCTGCCAAATGACAACATTTTTTAAGAGCACAAATACGACTACAAACATATGCTAAGCTGTATTCGCAATAGCTACAACAACAAAATCAAAACACCCAACTGATAAGGGAAATAAATATTGCCGAAGAGCCAAATTCTAAGCAGAAGTATGATTGATCGAATAAAGAGAGGTTACTATGTCTATGTGGCCGAAAGTTTAATACGTTACACGGTACTAAATACTTATGACCATATTTGTTATATAATCCACCAAAAAAGCTGGAGGGTACATAAAATTTGTCACCTCCAAATATTCGGTCTCATAAAATATATAATTTTTTGATATCCACAAAATTCCAAAGTTCTGTCTGTTAGATTCAAAATAATGTCCATATTATTTTATGTAGAGTATGAAAATGTTCCATAATAGTTGATCAGGTGTCTAGGATGATTAGTATTTACCGTTTTAGGCCATATAAGTGTACCTCCAAATTTTCAGTATTTTGAACTTGGTATTTCAATCGTTTCTGCCCCAATTTCCAACGAAATTTTGATCATTTTCGGACCAAATAAGTTTGTCTACAGATTGCTCTATTTAAGACCCATCAAGGGAGTACATGTAGAACCTCCAAAGGTCCAAGCAGTCCATTTTAGTCGATCATGTGAAATAATGCCATAATGTCCTGCACAAATCATACCAATTTCGCACAAAAGTTGTGATCCATTTTACCCGCTAGATATAATTCTAGGGTCGTCCAAAATGCTTCACTTCTACCCTGTCTTAAACCCTAACCTCATGCAAAATTGCGTGCCGCTTGGTTTTTAATTGTGACCTGTAGAGACACTGCAAGATCAGAAAAGTTTTAATTTTTGGTCCATTTGAACCACTAAATATACATCTTGAAAAACAATGGGCTTTAATTCTGACCATAAATCTATCCCCATGCAAAATTTCTTAAGAATCGGACGATAATTGTGACTTGAATATAATACAGAATAATTGAATAACATAGTGTTGTAAGGTGAAAAAATATTACCAAACGTAAAATTGAATGTTGTAAATCAAATATGAAAAAATCTCATGCGATAAAAATATGACAAAAATAAAAAAAATTATTCACTTTTTTATTGGCATATTTTCACGAGATTTTATGCTTTTCTGGCAAGAGGCCATTCCGAATTTGTGAGAATTGTCAATATCCGCCCAGCCGTTCTTGAGTTATAAGCGGTCTAACTAACATCCCCTACCTTGATATATGAGATTGTAAATATGTGCGATATCTTGGATATGAGCATCAATGTAACGGTCAGGAGTGAAGTGATTAAAAATATTCGCGGTTTTTATGTTCAGATATAGCTATAGCTTCAGCAGGACATCAGATACTGCTCGAAAAAACATCCTTCAAATTTTATCGAAATCGGTTCAGATTAGGATATAGCTCCCATATATATCTTTATCCGATATAAGGTTTATTGTGCACCAAATGGCCAAATTACCTGAATTTTGGTACATCCCACCGAAACCAGTTTAGAAGTAAGTGCTTTGGTGTAAATCGGTTCAGAATTGGATATGCCTTTCATATATTTGTTACCTCTGAAACCAAACTGTAACTGCTCTAAAGCCAAATGTTGATAGGTGATATGATCTGCTTCAAATAAATTATTTTGTTACGGGAACTCTACTAAATATTCATAGTGCTTTAGGGTATCATATAGTCGGCCCCGCCCGACTTTTGACTTTTCCTTACTGGTTTCTACATAAAAGTTATGATTTATATTACAAACAAAATGGTAGGCTTGCGACCAGCCCTAAACTTTAGCCACATGCTAGATTCCGCTTCGACTGGTCTATAATTGCTGTAGACCAACTGCAAAATAAGGACATTTTTCTGTTCATTCCATTTCTCCAAAAACAATAGGCTTCTATTCTGACCCTAGTCCCAACTTCCATGCAAAATTTCGTGAGGATTGGGCTATAATTATTCAAAATGTTTAAAATAATTATGGTTTTCTAAAAATATATGCACTTGGTAACAACCATATTGAAAGTTAACATTTTATTTTATTGATTCCACTTGTCCGATAATATAAATAGGACGAACAACATTTTAATTTCAATTCTAATCACCCATACAAATTGTTAGCATTCTTTTGTACAGTAAATGTTTTCCAAATACGAATACGAAAACTTCGATATTTTATTAGATTGTTTGTTCTGTAAAACAACTCAATGCAATTATTTATCAAATTAAAGAAGCTGTTAGAAAACATTGCCCACCTTGTGTTTTTTGTTTCTCCAATTGCAATATGGTATTATAAATTATTTCTCCGAATCCAATATAGGTATCCAATTGGATGCTGCTTATTCTCAGCCTTGACGATCATTTGTGTTACACATAAAAAAATCGTTAATGACTTGAACAAAACAACAAGATGCACATTCTTTTTACGATAAATAAAAAATTTGCTTTTCATTTTGGCAAAAAAAAAAAAGATTTTAATTCTTTGTTTTGTGTAAATTTTTCATATTATAAAAAATTAAGAGGATAAGAATTTGCTCGTAATTAAAATCACAAAAACACACACACACGCACATATATATGCCATTAACTATTACACTTAACACACACACACGCGAATGATGCCAGGAAAAGCCACCCCCCACCGTTGAATGGAGGTAGTGCAACAATGAAACAACATCCTTTAGGAATCTACCTATATACATGTGTATATTTTTAAAATCAACATTTACAATTTTCACTTTATTTTTTTTTTTTTTTTATTTAAAATATTGTGTTGAAAAACACCACTTAACGCGAATAAAAAATAAGCAAATATATTATTTTCCCACACACACAAAAAAAATGCTACACCGGTGTTCACTAGTGTTGCTGGTGTTCCGTTTTTGCATTGATGGCGATGATGTTGTTTCAATGTTGTTTTTCTTATTGTTGTGGTCATCTTCCTAGTCGTCCTGTGAAAATCATGTGTTACAGCTCGGAAAAGCACGCGCCCGCCCTCGTGTTATTTCATACGTATATTTTGCCCCTTTTTATTATCTTCCCCCAACCAATGTATGGGGGGAAATACAACGCACGTTTTATTGTCGAGTTGAGAGAAAAAACGTATATTCACGCCTGCACAATGTATGCTTCTCTGAACGTCAGACGACAGACTAAAGCAGGCTTTTTACTTTCAGAACGATGATACCCTCCAAACAACAAAAACAACTGCCACACTCACATCCAACCCCACTCACTTGCTGAGCAAAATATACACTGGGAGTGTGTGTATCACAGCTGGCCGAACTGCACAGCAGCAGTTAAGCCGGCAGTCAGGCGACCGACCATCTAGCCAGCTATCCATGGTGCCGACACAACCAACAGGCATTCTTGGCATTCATTCATTCATACTTGCCATGAATTCGTTCACAACAGAGCAAAAGGCAGAACCAAAACAGAGAGTGCTTCCAAACAATATCAGTGCTCAGGCATCAAACCAAAAGTGGCTGTGGCGGCAGGCTGTTGTTGTTTGTTGTTCGGCTAAGATGAGAAGTATAGGCAGTGAATGAATGAACAGCAGCTCTGTCACACTGCAGCATCGCTGTCACAGCGCCGCACACGGCAAAGAAAAATCCAAGTCAACGGAATGGCCATTCTCCTTCATCACTGAGGGCGACGACGACATCAATTGAATGGATTTTCGCAAGTTGCCGCCAACGCCGCCTAAACAGCTACCGCAACATACTTACATACATACATACGTCAACAATGAGAAGCAAGACACAATGTAAACATCAAGGAACAAACAAGCCAACAATCGGCTTCTCTCTAAGCCGCCAAATCTCTCAAAGGCTAAGGTTAATAAGTCGATGTTACCAGGCAATGGACACAGCCACAAGGTTGGAGGGGATGAATCAAAAACAGAAAAACATTGGTAGTTATCCGAAGCTTTTGAGGTTGCACTGTGCAGTAAGCAACTTCATAATGATTGTACACAGTGTCGTAAAATGGAATATTTATAGTCGGGGCTGAATATCATAAGGGCTATAAGTTGGTTGGACCAAAATGTTTGTAGCACCTCAAAAAATTGTTTCAAGTCATAGGAAGTTATATAAGATTTTCCCATCTCACCAAACCGAGTCGGTACCCTGAGACGCTACAGGTCGCCATTGTGGTCCGATCCTCATAAACTTCCACATGAAGGTGGTCTGAATTTTTCGGAGATAATCGCAAAATATGTAGGTTGGACTGGATCTATGTACTTTTCTTGACATTGCAGTTGCTCTACAGTCCACAATTATAGACCAATCAACTCGCAATTTGGCGTGGGACGTGGGACTAGAGTTTAAAGGCTGAGCAGAAGTCTACCAATTTCTATGTACAGGGTGAGATACAAAAACTGCAACAAAGTCAAACGCCATAATTTTTACATTTTTTTATTGTATTGAATGAAAGCAAAAAATGTCGGAAATAACATCAAATTTTAGAATAAGTTAAGATTTGTTAGAATTGGTCACCTTTGGCACGAATTATGGCCTTCAAACGGCCAATGAAACCGTCACACGCTGCCCAAATGTTGCTCTGCGGCATTTTGGACCTTTCCCGGCGAAGCGCTTTGGTATTTTTTAGTGCCAACCTTGCCTTCCCAAAATACTCCAGACACAATAGTCCAACGGATTGGTATCCGGAGATTTTTGTGGCCATTGTGTGCTGGAAATAAAGCGAGGAACCTCATTTTGGCGCGTGCTGATTCCTGTTGGAATGTCCAAGGTCTGCGGCCGAAATGTTTGCGTGCCCAAGGCTTTTATACACCCTCCAGAATATTTTCGCAATTACATTCGGCATTTATTCTGATTAATACAAGTGGACAGCGACCATCGGCTGTTATGGCGGCCCACACCATCACCATGGCCGGCGTTTGAGTCCTGGTGGCCAAACGAAGGTGCACATTTTCAGCTGACCTCTTTGGTAAGAAAATACGATCATTTTGTTTGTTTACAAACTGCTGGACAACGAATGTTTTCTCATCGGAGGAAACCAAATTCGGCAGTTCACCACTTTCGGCCAAGCGAAGCAACACTTTAGCTCTTTTGAGTCTATTTTCTTTCTGTTGCGGTGTAAGTTCTTTTTGGAATTTCAATGGCTTACTCCGAGCTACTTTTTCAATATTTGCCGAATGGAATATTGCGATATGTTCAGCACACGAGCCATTTTTAAGCCACTGCCACGCGGGTTTCGATCAAGTCGCTTCTTTACTTTTCGAACCATTTCTACTGATGTTGCTGTTTTCTTTCGTCCACTTCCTTGACGTCGGGCTACGCTACCAGTATTACGGTAACGAGCGATGCGACGAGACACAAAAGATTTATTCACATTTAAATGCTGGAGTGCTCTAACGATAGCCACTTGTGGTTTTCCAGCCAAATATAAAGAAAGCACACTATCACGCTTAATTTCCATCACGAATAACTTTTTTTCTGGAAAATTCTCACCAAAATGCTGTTGTACGTTTGTAAACAATATAATGAGCTGTGCGTGGAATAATTTTAACAGCTGTCGTATGATTGGCTTAGAAATGACAGCAGTCTGAAGTTGGTTGCAGTTTTTTTTATCTCACCCTATACATAGATCCACACAGCGGTAACTCCCAATGTTCGCTATTTTGATGTTTTAGCGAAATTTTTTACCGGGTTTATTTAAAATTTAGTATTTAAAATTGGTAATGGGTATTACAGAATATGACAAAAAATTGCGTGTGCAGGTTCACGTCTTTGTATAGCCACATATAACGATACCTCCCGATATTCGGTATTTTGATGTTTTATGTACATTATTCAGCGAGATTGTTTCAAATTTGGCATTTGAAGCTCGTATTCGGTACTACAACCAATGGTGGAAAATTGTCTATGTGGGTCCTCGTCTTCATATAGTCCAGGTGCCGTTATAACCTCCCTATATTTGGTATTTTGATGATATTAGCGGCATTAGTCACAGGAACTGTCCCAATTTTGATGATATTGGAGATATTTTTTACCGCTATAGTTTCAAATTTTGCTTTTTAAAGTTCGTAATGGGTACTCCTCCATATAACGGGTTTCCTTTGAGCGGTATTTTTGAACAGAATTTTTGGGAAAATTTTCAATTTCCTTCGAATTGGTGGAGGATATTAAAAGTTCGGGGCGGCCGAACATCGCTACTTTTGTCCATTTACGACAAAGGATTCCGGTTTTAACTCTAGACAACAGAAAAATAACAAAAGAAGAATTTTATCATATCTTTCTTTAAAAACGAAGTCACACCGCAAAAAATCTGTCCGATAGTTTTCTGCCACAATATATAGTTTCATTTGTTGTAAGCATTCTTTGGTACATTTAATATTAATGTACCTTGTTCACAACTCAGGTTTAAGATCCTAGTTTCTGTCATTTATCCTTGAAATTTCGGTTAAATAACCTAACTTATTTATGACCATACAGTTCCATGACTGTACGGTTCCATTAACACCAGTGTGCAAGAATTATGTAAGCCAGCCACGTCTAAAGAGTAGCATATGTCAAAGCCCTTTCGTTTTCCTTTTCTGCATTATTAAATTTTAATGGTTTTTTTTTGCGTTTTGTTGTTAATTTCTAGAGAAGCATTGATACTAAATATTTTTAAATGTTTTTTATTACTTTTTTGAGATGTTACCATAAAATGCACACTCACACGAAAAATGGTCATTCCATCAATTGAATTAATACTATATTTTTAATCACTTAATCACTAGGTGGGATAATCAACATTTTTATACCCTCCACCAAAAAAGGTATGGAGGGTATATTAACTTTGTCATTCCGTTTGTAACTCATCGAAATAATCATTTTAGACCCAACAAAGTATATATATTCTTGATCAGCGTAAAATTCTAAGACGATTTAGCCCTGTCCGTCCGTCTGTCCGTCTGTTGTAATCACGCTACAGTCTAAACGAATTAAGATAGGAAGCTAAAATTTTGCACAAATCTCTCTTTTGTCTGCAGGCAGGTCAAGTTCGAAGATGGGGTATATCGGTCCACGATATCGTATAGCCCCCATATAACGGTACCCCCCGATATTCGGTATTTTGATGATTTTACCCACATTTTTCAACGGAATTATCTGAAAATCCACACAAGGAGTTCCTTGTGGGTACTTTATACCTCGGCAGAGAATTGTCCATATAAGTCCACGATATCGTATAGCCCCCATGTAACAATACCCCCCGATATTCGGTATTTTGATGATTTTACCCACATTTTTCAACGGAATTGTCTAAAAATCCACACAAGGAGTTCTTTGTGGGTACTTTATACCTCGACAGAGAATTATCTATATAGGTCCACAATATCGTATAGCCCCCATATAACGGTACCCCCCGATATTCGGTATTTTGATGATTTTACCCACATTTTTCAACGGAATTGTCTGAAAATCCACACAAGGAGTTCCTTGTGGGTACTTTATACCTCGGCAGAGAATTGTCCATATAGGTCCACGATATCGTATAGCCCCCATGTAACGGTACCCTCCGATATTCGGTATTTTGATGATTTTACCCACATTTTTCAACGGAATTGTCTGAAAACCCACACAAGGAGTTCCTTGTGAGTACTTTATACCTCGGCAGAGAATTATCTATATAGGTCCACAATATCGTATAGCCCCCATATAACGGTACCCCCCGATATTCGGTATTTTGATGATTTTACCCACATTTTTCAACGGAATTGTCTGAAAATCCACACAAAGAGTTCCTTGTGGGTACTTTATACCTCGGCAGAGAATTATTTATATAGGTCCACGATATCGTATAGCCCCCATGTAACGGTACCCCCCGATATTCGGTATTTTGATGATTTTACCCACATTTTTCAACGGAATTGTCTGAAAATCCACACAAGGAGTTCCTTGTGGGTACTTTATACCTCGGCAGAGAATTGTCCATATAGGTCCACGATATCGTATAGCCCCCATGTAACGGTACCCTCCGATATTCGGTATTTTGATGATTTTACCCACATTTTTCAACGGAATTGTCTGAAAATCCACACAAGGAGTTCCTTGTGAGTACTTTATACCTCGGCAGAGAATTATCTATATAGGTCCACAATATCGTATAGCCCCCATATAACGGTACCCCCCGATATTCGGTATTTTGATGATTT